ACACCAATGTCCCGGACCATAAGAGAAGATAACTTGATAGACTCTGTCTAAAATGTATGCTCATTAGAGCTGAGGAGCTGTTGGAACTGGGCTACACACATTGTGCTAAGGTTCCCTCTTTGTTTCCTCATCCAGAAAGATGTCCCACTATCTCAAAGGGAGGGAGTCACTGGAAGCTGAATGTTCTGAGCCCTAGTAGAAGCTATGGATAAGAACTGGTTTCAGGGTCCTTGTACTTATGGGCAAGTTTTGAGCTACTGGGTCCCTCTCAAGTTTACCCTCTACCTCTTTGGCTGTCTATATATTATTAACACTAGGACAGACAGCTCAGTGGATTAAAGCACCTGCTTATTGATTTCATGATGATAGCTATTCTTTGAGGTGGAATCTAAGGATTGTTTTAATTTACATTTATTTCATGACTAGTGCTGCTAAACATTTTTTCATATATTTATTTGCCACTTGTACTTTTGCACCTGACAAGTGTCTATTCCTTTCAGATGCCAATTTTTGGATTGGATCTATAAATTTGGGGAGGTCAAAAAATGTTTTAGAGGTTGGCCAAATAGCTCAGCAGACTAAAGCACCTGCTTAGACAGACACAGAAACTGGAGTTCAATCCCTGGTGTACTGTGCTCGCCCCACCCCCAGGGTACAATGAGACAATGATCAAGACTGAGCATGACAGCACACACCTATAATCCCAGTGCTTGGGAAACTAAAAACAGGAGAATCACTATGAATCCGATAAGTGTAGGGAGACCCTGTAGACCCTATACTAAACACTATATATATTTCATAAGTGGCTTTTACCAGATTGTGGTAAGGTCTATCTATAATCATTTTTTTTTTCAGGGTCTTTATGATTGATTACTGGACTTATCCAAGCCTTTTTACATCTATTGACACAATTGTGATATTTTGGGGTTTTTTTTTTTCTTCTTAACTATCTTAATTTCTGATGATTTGGCTTTAGATTGTTGTTGCTTTTTCTAAGACATTAAGGAGTATCGCTAGTTTATATGGAATCACTCTTATGTGGACATTTACCGTCAAGAATCTGTATTGTCTGGTACAGCAATTCCATTAGGATTTTTTGAGTCACTGACTTCACTATCTCTAACTGCAAGATCATACGCAGCACTCCTGAATTTCCAGTTTTTAACATACAAACATGCATCCATCACCACGGGCAAAACTATCATTACGAAGTTTGTGGGTTTGGAGGTCATCTGTGCCCTCTGTGATTGAAGTGATTGACTTTCATTGTCAGATAAAAGGAAAAATTTGAAGAGAAAAAAGTAAATATTTGAGAGAAATAGATGTAATAATGAACAGTAATACTAAAAATTATGGTGGAAAATAAATGTGCTCAGGGAAAAAAAAAAAAAAAAGGCTGGTGAGATGGCTCAGTGGTCTAAAGCACCTACTTAGAACAAGCTTAGCAAAGCACTGGGACCTGGGTTCAGTCCACCAGCACCGCATGCCAGCCAGCCCCGCCCCCTGGTGGGCTGAGCTGGCCATACACACACACACACACACACACACACACACATACACACACACACACACAAATAAATAAAATTTTAAAAAAATATATAAAAAAATAAAAAAAAAATGTGCTCAGCAAAAAAAATGTCTTCTAATTTCACTACTGCATATTGGCTGGGAAAACAATACGCACTGCAAATTTCTGTTGGTGAAAAGAACTTGAAATGAGCTCCAGTAATAGTAGTCACATGTTCAAAAGTGTAATAATGTATCCTTCAATGTGGTATATTTCATGAATTATGTATGGCACATGACATTTCACTTGAAAAGAGAAAATGAAATATGGCTTACTCACTGTCTAATTTGATTATTTAAATATTATTACATTGTTCACTTAGATTTTCACCATAACATGGAAAAGTTAGAATGCAACTCCACGGGGAATTGAGCGTCTAGAGTATTCATACAGAAAACAAACAATTCTCATGCCTGTAACTTCAGCAGTCAGGAGTCGGAGGCAGGAAGATCACTCCAAGTTGAAGGCCACCGGCCTGGGCTGCAAAGAGAGTTTCAAGACTAACCTGAACTGCAGAGTGAAACCATGTCTCAGAAAGACAAGAAAGGAGGAGAAGGAAGCAGGGAAGGAAGGAAGGAAGAAGGGAGGGAGAGAGGGAGAGATGGAGGAATGAAAGGAGAAGAAAACAACCCAGAGTCTTGTAGAACACTAGTGTTAGGAAGTGAGAAGACAAATTTAAGTCAAGGACATCAGAGATGGTTTAACACTAAAATCTTGCATGAGTTTTACGTGGCTGAAGATAGACACATACATATACCACTATCTTCATTATCATGTCTTTATTGACAATGAGGATATTGTAGAAAGTTCTGTAAAGTTGGTAAAACGATACAATTGAATCTCAAAAATTACACAATTTCCTTTTTTACTGAACGATTTCACTCTTAGGTTAAAAAAAAAATTCAAAGACCAAATGATTTTCATAGCATTGGGAATAGAGTGTTTCAGGCTACTTCAATCCAAACAATAGAAATCATTCTGTCTAAACAAACTTCAACTCTGTCACAATTTCTCTGTATATCTTCTTCTTCTTCTTCTTCTTCTTCTTCTTCTTCTTCTTCTTCTTCTTCTTCTTCTTCTTCTTCTTCTTCTTCTAAACAAACTTCAACTCTGTCACAATTTCTCTGTATATCTTCTTCTTCTTCTTCTTCTTCTTCTTCTTCTTCTTCTTCTTCTTCTT